TGTAATGTATTTCTGTGATGCGCAGCTGTATTTTCAGCATCATTCCTCCAGTCTTCAGTGTCACATGATCTTCAGAAATCTGTATAATATGCTGATCTGCTGCTCGAGATACATTTCTGATTATTATCAATGTTGAACACAGTATTTTTTTTATTTTTGTGGAAACCGTCAGACTCTAGCATTCAAAGGTTTGGGATTTAGAAAACAAAAATATGTTTATATTCATCAAGGACGCATTAAATTAATCAAAAGTGAGAGTTAAGACATTTATAATGTTACAAAATGTTTCTATTTCAAATAAATGCTGTTCTTTTGAACTTTCTGTTCATCTGTGAATCCTGAAAAATAAAATGTATCACAGTTTTGTGAACTGAAGATCATGTGACACTGAAGACTGGAGGAATGATGCTGAAAATACAGCTGCACATCACAGAAATACATTACAGTTTAACAGAGATTCACATAGAAAACAGCTGTTTTACATTCTAATAATATTTCACAATTTTTACTGTATTTTTGAACAAATAAACGCAGCCTTGCTGAGCAGAAGAGCCTTTGTAATTATTCCACACGTTTGACTGGTGATGTACAGTATATGCTGCATACTGACTCTTCACTCTTCACTCTCAGAGTTGTCTGTGAACACGGCGTCGTTCGCTAAAAGCGCAGCTATGCTGGGAAACTCGGAGGATCACACGGCGCTGTCGCGAGCTCTGTCCCAGCTGGCCGAGGTGGAGGAGAAGATCGACCAGCTGCATCAGGATCAGGCCTGCGCTGATTTCTACCTGATCTCAGAGCTGCTGGGAGACTATGTGCGGCTCATCACCGCCGTTAAAGTGAGTGGACGACATCCTGAGCGTTTCATCTGGCCGTTTTTCCAATAAATTCAGTTAGTTTTCTGACAAGGCGAACATAAAAGATGTCAAAAACATATGTGATCCTGGAGCACAAAACATAAGAGTCAATTTTGTGAAATTGAGATGTATGCATCATCTGAGAGCTGAATAAATAGCTTTGCATTGATGTATGGTTTATTAGGATAGCACAATATGTGAAAATCTGGAATCTGAGGGAGCAAAAAAATCTAAATATTGAGAAAATCATCTTTAAAGTTGTTCAAATGAAGTTCTTAGCAATGCATATTACTAATCAAACATTAAGTTTTGATATTTACGGTAGGACATTTACTAAATATCTTCATGGAACATGATCTTTACTTAATATGCTAATGATTTTTGGCTTGAAAAAGAAATGGATAATTGTGACCCATACAATGTATTGTTGGCTATTGCTACAAATATACATGTGCTGCTTATGACTGCTTTTTAAAGATGATTTTCTCAATATTTAGATTTTTTTGCACCCTCAGATTCCAGATTTTCAAATAGTTGTATCTCAGCCAAATATTGTCCGATCCTAACAAACCATACATCAATTTGACAAAACTGACACTTAAAGTCCCCATGAAATCGAAATGAAAGTTTTTTGGGTGTTAGTATCAATATGTTAGTCTTAAGGTTATCTGTAAGGCAGTGTGCTCCAAAACAGTGACAAAATTCACATTTAGAAGATATAAGCATTCAAAGCTTGCAGTTCGTCACAAAACGACTCAACGATTTTTTTGACGTCACATCGTACTTCAGCTTCTCATCAAACTTTGTCCAATCAAATGCTCTCTAGAATCCGAAGCCCCGCCCCCTGCACTATAAAATAGACGCTGAAGCCGTGGCTGAAATCGGTCACTTGTCCACAGAGTTAGTATTTTCTGTGCAGTGGAGGGCACGTAGTGCACTATATAGGGGACAGGGAACGATTCAAACAGTGTAAATATGCTTTCCATTGAGGAAGAAAAGAACTCTGGTTTGGCGCTGTGTTACGCTAACCATCGCACCGCACCGCCATCACATACACACTCTGCTCCGGTCCAGAGACACGATAGCACGGAGCGGATCACATGTGTGAGTCGGCGCAGACCACACAATGTATCGGAGCTATTTGAATTCTACACAGAATGCTATATTTTATAGCAATATGGATGAGATTGTGGCTGTCAAATGCGGCTTTACATGGCTCAACGGCTCTGAACGGCTCTAGCCCAAGCTGTGATATAAACCAACGCTATTGGCTATTTTAAAAAGGGGTGGGGCTGCTTGATATGCCCCGCCCTGTCTTCCTGTTTCAGTTAAAATGATGCCAACACATAGAATAATGCTGCATGTTTCTAAGCATTTCAGGGGACCTTTAAGACTGATTTTGTGGTCCAGGGTCATGTATGATCTCTATAATAATAATACTATAAATGATCTTTTGCCTTTTAAATTTATGCATTTAGCAGACGCTGACTTACAGTGCATTCAGGCTATAAATGTTTTACCAGTATGTGTGTTTTCCTGGGAATTGAGCCCACGACCTTTGCGCTGCTAACGCAATGCTCTAACACTGAGCCACAGGAACATTGAACAGGTGAACCCGCTTTCATTTGTTTCATTCACAGGATCATGCATACAGAATCATTTGCTTGTTATTTAAACTGTTTTTCATTGAATTTGCATCATAACTATAATGACAAACAGTATGTTACTGTGATATGAGATTTGCGCAGACTGAATGCACTAAAGCAGAAATTATTAATGCATAATGTAAAGGCTATTTTTGGCCTCCTAAAACCCCATGCACGAGTGCAGGGCTTCATGATGCACTGGTTTTGTCACGTGTCTGTGCTGCAGGGCGTGTTTGACCAGCGGATGAAAACATGGGCCAAATGCCAGGATGCTCAGGTGATGCTGCAGCGCAAGAGAGAAGCCGAAGCCAAACTACAGCACGCCAACAAACCCGACAAACTGCAGCAGGCCAAAGACGAGATCAGAGAGGTACAGAACACCTCAGACTCATCATGAGGAAACACTGAGAGAGCACTGGGGCTGATGGGAAATATCCAGCACGTTTGTTTGCCTTCCCTCTCTTCGGTTCCTTCATATCTCTGCTGTGTTTACCTCGAATCACCTGACAGCTGCAGGAATCCATGACAGTTATTGATTCTTTTAAGCACGAAACATTTCCAGCCTTTTTAATTTCTGCGTTTTCCCCGTCACGCCCCACAAAGGAGATCGAGGAGGTAGGACCTTCGCTTTGATTTGATTTGCTGTCTCCATCGTCACGTGTGCTGTCTCACACGCACTTATATTTGCATTCTGTAGATCAGAGACTAATTATGGATTCATCAGACTACAGCGTCTTTAATCTCTCACTTTAAAGGAATAGTTGAGCTGAAATGAAAATGTGCTCAAGATCAGGATGAGTGTGTTTCTTCATCAGGTTTGTAGAAATGTAGCACTGCATCAGTGTCTCAGCAATGGATGCTCTGCAGTGAATGGGTGCCGTCAGAATGAAAGTCCAAACAGCTGATAAAAACATCACAATAATCCACAAGTAATCCATGCACTTTTTCACTGGAGGAAGAGTTATTATAGATTATAGACTCTTATGGTATTTGAGTTAAAAACGTCTTAATGCTGGATTAGTTTCAGCTTTTGTCTTCTCCAGATGTTAACTGATGGACTGGAGTGCTGTGGATTATTGTGATGTTTTTATCAGCTGTTTGGACTCTCATTCTGATGGCACCCATTCACTTGCAGTGAGACACTGATGCAATGCTACATTTCTACAAATCTGATGAAGAAATTCAACACGTTTTCATCTTTTGGTGAACTGTTCCTTTATCAGCTGCTGGTTCATTTGTAGTATTTAATAAAAGCTGATGTCTTGTGTTGTTTAGTTGTAGTTTTTAATGGAGGATTCATTATAGTTCATGCCCTCATTCCATAAATCATCATCATCATATGCTCACTAGACCTTCTGACCTGATGTGACTGACTCTGTTTGTTCTGCTCATGACGGCCAGTTTTTCAGCTCTTTGTGTTTGACACACACACACACACACACACACGCACACGCACACACACACACACGCACACGCACACACACACACACGCACACGCACACACACACACACGCACACGCACACACACACACACGCACACGCACACACACACACACGCACACGCACACACACACACACGCACACGCACACACACACACACGCACACGCACACACACACACACGCACACGCACACACACACACACGCACACGCACACACACACACACGCACACGCACACACACACACACGCACACGCACACACACACACACGCACACGCACACACACACACACGCACACGCACACACACACACACGCACACGCACACACACACACACGCACACGCACACACACACACACGCACACGCACACACACACACACGCACACGCACACACACACACACGCACACGCACACACACACACACGCACACGCACACACACACACACGCACACGCACACACACACACACTCTCTCTCTCTCTCTGTGTGTGTGTGTGTGTGTGTGTTTAGTGGGAAGGTAAAGTGCAGCAGGGTGAAAGAGATTTTGAGCAGATATCCAAAAACATCCGTCGAGAGGTTGGACGATTCGAGGTGAGTAGCGTGTCTTTGCTCTCGCTGTTAAACCCAACGCTGGTTTCTCTGAGCTCAGCGTCTCTTTCTCTTCACAGAAAGACCGAGTGAAAGATTTCAGAGTCGTCATCATTAAATATCTGGAGTCACTAGTTCACACACAGCAGCAGGTGCGTGATCAGAGGAAAGAAGCGTGTTTTCCAGATCAGCAGCTGGGAATGTTCATCTCATGTTTGTTTTGTCTGTTTTTCAGCTGATAAAATACTGGGAGGCGTTCTTACCTGAAGCCAAAGCGATCGCGTAATTCATCAAATCCGTCTCTCTCTATTCCGCAGTATGATCATGCAAGAAAAAGCTGCACAGACTTAATGATAACACTACATTAATAAACCCAGAATCTGAATGTCTTTGTACCTGTTTGGTGTCTGAAGATCAGCAGCGACCGTCTCTTCACGACGTCTCGTCTCAGATTGAATGTCGCATTAGGCAATGATCCGACAGGGGAAGGCCTTCTGAAGTGATTTCTCTTCTCTTTTCTCTCGTATGTACAGAATGAAGCATTATTCTCTCATAATCAGTATTTAAGAGCATCAATAATCGACGAGGCTTAGCTCGTGCATGACGAACGGATATACATATGTATATTTTTTTATTTTGCATTGTAGCCTGAGATTTTGGGACATTTCTGTTGATTCATTGTTCTAACAGATTTTTTAATCACAAGTATTTTTTACTCTACATACCTGTGCAACCTTAATAAAGGAATGAATCAGTATCAGAACTGGACTTCATGTTTTTGGCTTGTAGTTTCTGCACGCTAAAAACTAAAGTTTTGGCTCAAAAAATAAATAAATACATATAACAGTTTGCATTAATCTTTTGGAGTTATGACGATTTCTAATAAAATTGTGTTTACTCAGTTAGAGGAGCTTAATATTTTGTTTGGTAGTAATGCATTACCAAGTAATTATGCTTCGGTTTTTCTAAAAATGTTTCTGTAATTTATTTCTGATGTAATTGCATTAAATAACATATGAGCTGTAGAAAAATTATATATATAAAACAATAGTGTATTTAACATCAAAACTAAAATACAAACCTTGTCTATTAAATACTTCAAGAATAACTTTATATTACAATTTGAAAGAAATAATAGAGCGGTTTCAAGTCGGTCCTTGTGTTTTTTAACTGGTTGATATGGGATTTAGAAAGTAATGCAATACTTTTCAGAGTTAGTAATGAGTACAGTCATCTAATTACACTGTTGAAGATGTAATTAGTAGTTAGTGATTAATTATAAGCTCTACTCTTTAGCACAATGATAACCACAAAAACTTAAACATTTAAAACAAAAATAAATCAACAAACTCTTAACTGTCGCCGTTCTCTATCAAATCCTTTAGTAATCATCATAAATCATATATCATCTGAAAGCTTAGAAGCCCAAGATTCATCCTGTGCAAACCATTTTGAAATCGGATATTGCGTTACCATGGAAATGGTACTTTCAAATCTTTTGGCGGGTTCCTCCCCCTTAGTAGGCGGTGTCAAGTGTCATATTACAAAATGCATTACGCTCGTTTACAATCAAAACTTTTTATAATCTTGACAAAAAACATATCATTGGAAAGGTCTGAGTCTTAGGATTCCATGGATAGAAGTAATATTGACAGAGAAATCTAGACATTTGTGACAGAAAAATGCATTAAAAATGTAGTGGATGGCTGTTTGGGGTATAACGCCCTAAATAAAATCTCACAGGAACCTTCATTTTTTTCATATCAACTTCAAATTTGGAACATAACTTATTTAGACATAAGGTTTTAATTTTATACCCTGTTATGTAAAATATTTATTATAAATAAAATAAAATGAATATAGTGCATTTTCTTTACAGTAAATTTAAACTAGCATAACTTTTTGATACTTCCACATTTGCGATAAACTGCTGATTTTCTTCTTTAAAAAGAGACCAACCTTATGTCTGTTTTCCAAAGTGTTCATAAATGACAAAAATTTAAGGGGGGGGGTGACAGTTAAGGGGTTAAATGTCAAACATAACAGCATTAAACAGTCACGGGTCTCTCCATTCACTAAATAATTAAAAAAGAATAATTCTCTTTATCCAGTCCTATGCAAAGCATAATGGGAACTAGAAATCTACTGCCAAGTTTGCACTTATATATTAACTTACTTATTTAAAAATAATAATAATAATTTGCATGCAATATTAAGTTCATGTAATGATCAGCATTATTATCTCAACAGAGCTCATCAAAATAAAGTTTGCAACTTAGATTTCAACCATGCATTTTTGTAAAAAAGTTGATTCCCCAAATTTCTTTTCAGAGTTCATATGTTTTTCTAGTTCTGTTAGTAAAAACAAACAGCTGGAAAAGTCCTGAGATCTGGGAATGCTTGTTTCTTAAGAACTGTGCATTTAGTTTTTCAGAGAGAGAGAGTGCAGAAGAGCAGCTGATCGTCTGTCACATCGCTGCTTAAACTCACTTAAACAGAGGAATAAAAGAAAGCGTGTTCTTGACAGGCCCCGCCGAGCATTTCAGCGCTCTGCATATACGTCAAAAAGCCCAGGCCTGTCCTCATCTCTGTCCCGTCGTATTGGCAAGCTGTCACAGCCGGCGTGGCATTAGGAGCTGCTTCATGATGAAGGCTGTCGTGTGTGCGTCTGTAGCTCTGCAGGAGTGAATGGCTGAAGCTTCACCTGCAGGTGTTTCTGAAACACGGGGAAAACAATGCTTTGCATGAAGAAAAGAAGTCTTAGTTTTAGGATCTTTAAGGTGTGTTGCACTGTGACATGCTGTTACATTAAATTCACATGTTCATATAATCCTGCAGTGAGATGAAGGTAAATATG